GTCTGCTGTCCCTGACCCTTCCTCTATTGATCCACCCTCAGACCCGTCGGCAGATCGTATTTGTTTGATGTTTTCTGACGTGACTTCACTGAAAAGCTTTGACTCTCTTACAGGCTGTGGAGATATTATTGCAGACCCAGAAGAAGAGGCAGGCCCCAGCTGTGACAAGCATGTCCCCGGGCCAGGCAAGCCAGTGCTCTCTAAAAAGAACCCCACCGTGGTGGCCTACCAAGGAGGAGGGGAGGAGATGGCCAGCCCTGATGAGGTGGACGATACCTATCTCCCGGAATTCTGGGACATGTTGTCCCAGACGGAGGACCAAGGACAAAGGCCCCAAGAGGGTGCAGTGAAGGCGGCCACTGCTTCGGACACCAAGCTGGCCCCTGAGACCTCCAATGATGCCCGGTGTGGGGAAGTAGCCAAGGACGCGTCCTCCTCTGTCAAGCACAGGAGGCTCCACAGGATCCCCATTGAGCCTCAGCAGAAGGAGGAGCCCAAGCACCCAGAGAAGGAGCATCAAGAAGGCGTCCCTAACAGCGACGAGGGCTACTGGGACTCCACCACTCCTGGCCCAGAAGAAGACAGTGCCAGCAGCAGTAAGAAGGCTGTCATCCCCAGGGATAGCGACAGTGGCGATGCTCTCTATGATCTCTACACTGAACCCGAAGGAAGCCCAGCCGCCCTTCCTGTGGCGGAGGACCCACCCTGCTTGTCCCGGCTAAAGCCCGTGTCTCCAGGTACCATCACCTGTCCACTGAGAACACCAGGCAGCTTGCTGAAGGACTCTAAAATCCCCATTAGCATCAAGCATCTCTCCAACCTTCCATCCAGCCATCCTGTGGTGCACCAGCAACCAGCCAGGAGTGAATTGCCCAGAACAAAAATCCCCGTTTCCAAAGTGCTGGTCCGCAGGGTCAGCAACCGGGGTTTGGCTGGGACCACCATCAGGGCAGCAGCGTGCCATGACAGTGCCAAAAAGTTGTGAGGTGTCCAAGGCCAAGGAGGATGGATGGGCCATGTGTTAAGGAATACAACTTTCCCCTGGAAACCGCTGAAGGAAGTTTGCTTTGCCCAAAGCAAACAATTTAGGACCCACCCTTCTCCATAAGGCCTAGATGTCTTTGTTGGAGACAGGGGCAGGACGCCCTGGAAGGGGAATGTTACACCTGGAATTCAGATAAGTTCCTGAGAATTCTTTTCTAGCACTTTTTCTTTTAACCTTAAAAAAAAAATCTTTTTTCCTTCTTTTTTCTTTAATTCATGGATCATTCAGAAGTCGCCTTCTCTTGCTTTTGCAGAAAAAAAGATTTAACCAAATCTAACAAAAAACATCACGCCAGGATATCAGGCTGTTCTAGAGTCAAGAGGGCCTTGAGGAATCACTAAGCAACAGGATTCTTGCCTCTCTTTCCAGGAAAAAAAAAAAAAAAAAAAAAGAAGACCTTTTGCTTATCACTGTGTAGGAAACACCTGCAAAGCCCACAGATCCATAGAGCTACTCCATGAGAAGAGGGGACTGCTGGCTGGCAGAAAACCCCCCAGGTCCAGTGGCCAGATATGCAAATAGGTAAAGATCTATCCACATAAAAGGAAAGGTTTTAGTTTGGCCGGTTCAGATCATTTGTCTGAGGAGAAATAAAAGGCTCATGAGTAGTTTATGTGGTTTTTTTGTTTTGTTTTGTTTTGTTTGTGTATTTTTTGGATCCACCCCTCCCTCTCAATGCTAAAATCAGGATCAGGGAAAGATCTCACTAAATGCTAATTACTCAGTATTTTGTCATTTGCAAACTTCAACCTTGTTACGCATATTTTAACAGTTTGTCTCAAGGTTAACAATTCCGTCAATGATATAGAATTTAGAGTCTGGTCTTATAGCTGGAAATGATAACAAACTTGAACAATGGTTTGCCTGGCCTTGATTAAGAGTCCATTTCTCAATCCAAATCAGAGATTATACCTTGTTTATAAAATGTTGAATCCAACCATTTTCCCCAGGTTAGGAAGTCTAAAATGAACATAACAAGAAATAATAGAAAAAAATACAAGTTTAAACTATTCATTCGACTTTTGCTATATAAACCTATGCCCGAGACAGATGTGTTTTACATGTGACACTGCCAAACCTAAGTATGTAAACATTCTACTAAATTATTTTTGAGAAGTGCTTTGATTCAATATATGCTTTCTAATATTTCAGCTGAAACCCTGCTGCCTTGGCAGTTTGAACAATACAGGGGTTCCTTGAATGCTGACTAAACTGATACCCTCTGGAGAGGCATTTAACTCAAAGGGCCAGAGCTTCTACCAGAGGTGCTGTGGCACATCGGGAAGATGGCACATATCCCAGTGACCCTGCATGTGTATGAATGACATGAGCACAGTGTAATTCGAGTTCTAGAGAGATGACTAAGAAATGGTCTGCTATTTTGTGTTTTAAAATTTTAGTTATATTTTGTAAAAGAAAAAATGAAGCTAAATATATGAAAACTTATTTTAATAGTATGAAGGAAACAAAAATAAGTAGACATCAAGGAAAACTTGATAAGGTGTAAAGGAACCTATTCCCATTTCCAATTTGTAGCAATTCCCTTAGAAGAGAGGGCAGAGGTCTGCTTCGTCCCTTAGTTAGATTACTGACTTTTACTGTGTTGTCTCAGGTCCTTATCACAAAGCAATGCTTTAATTTTTAATGTCCTTGTGTTTAGAGATGAGACCCTCCAGGTGTCCATCACCCTAAGCATTCTGGGCTCATTATCAGAAACCACACAAGCATCTCATACATGCTCAGGAATTCATCTGGATAAAAACAGACAGAAGACATCTCAAAATAGTTGGGATTTGGCAATATTTTGAAAATCACTTCTGCCCTTGAAAGAAGACTTTAAATTTGATTAATATTGATAGAAATATTTAGACCCCAAAATGCATTTGTTTCCCCCATAGAACTAGAGAGGACATACATTTTACTTCTAGCAGGAAAACAAAAGGAACTTTTCCCTTGTGCTTTTCCCTGCAAAGATTATGTTCACCTTTGCACAACTCCGTGGCTGGGTTTTGTTTGCGCTTGTTCAACTGTGTATGAAAGGTAGCATATGAAGAACGGGCTCAGACATTGTCAGAGTAATGGCAGGTGGTTGCTGAGGCACTAGAAGCCACTCCTTCAAGCATTCCCAGCTTGGAAGTTTATTTCTGCAGCCACCCACTACACCATCTTCGATTTATAAGGGAAGGAAAATTTTAGCAATATTTACCTTAATTTCCCCTGGCAATTAAGCAGTTACAAAAGACCTTAAATGTTTTATTTACAAAATTCTTTTCATCATACTTCCCCCACCTGATTTTTCTCTTTTATCCTGCACATTTAAGAAGAGCACCCATGCCAGCCCAGGAAAGGATTTGGCAGTGAGCTAAATGTCCTTTAATTGTTAGCAGTTAGGATGGTGGTCAGCCTTCTCCAAACACAGAAAAGGGATTAGAGTTGCTTTCTTGGGCCAAGGATTACTTTGTCTTATCTGTGTTTACAAGAAATTTCTATGTTTACATGCAACTGTTTATAAATATGTTATCTAATAGTCTTCTGAGAATTGGACAGGTTTCTTTGCTGACTTTTAATTTAAGAGAAAGGGCAGACATGAACAAATGATGATTTCTTGGTATGTACAGTTCTAAGGGCCATTGGGTTGTCACCCTTTGGGTAAAGAGCTGCCTAAAACAAGAGGGCAAAAAGCCAAATCAGTTGTTGGGCAGGAATTTGTCAGTTTAATGGCTCTGCACAAAGACAGCCTGTCATTAAAATCCCCAACACACAAACATACACAACACACACACACACACACACACACACACACACACACACACACACACACATGCACGCACTACTTAAAGACTACTTAAAGTCAATTCAGTCCTGCCTTGGCTCTGCTGGCATTAGAGGCTCTGCTGGCATCATTCTCCTCCACCATGCAGTGGGAAACATTTCATTTACTACAGCATTTCAAATAGTCACTAGAGGAAATATATTTTTTATTATTTCATGTAACAACAATGGAATAGAGATCACCAGAACTCCCTTGAGATGCATTTTGCACAAAACTTACCTGCCTACTGACATGCAAATATAGACTCGGTGTGTAATCTGCGCAGATGATGTCTCACCCAGCTTAAAGGGCTTACTCACCTCAGTTGTTTTTCATTCTTTGAAATTAATATGCAAAGTGTCCTTTGCTGACTCAGTTGTCAAGGTCAAAGGTTGTACCAGGTGTTAAGATTTCTTTGGCCAAACTTTCTAAGAGTTGTCATTTATTTCCTCTCTGATCTCTCTGGGGAAGATCTTTATTAAGAATGTCATCTGAAGAGGTTGACTTGTGTGACTTCATCTCTCCCTTTGTGCATCATAGTTACCTGTGGCCCTGGGATAGTGACAACATGACACTCTCTGTGTTGTTGCCCTTCTGGACCATGTTAGCATCTTTTGCTTCCTCCTTTCATTCAGGCATTGTAAACATCTTCCTTGCACTGGGAATGTGAGGACTTGGCTCACTGTGCTTGGCCTCCACTGAGGCATAAAGAGTCACCTCCACTCAGCTTCCCTCATGAGTGCTAAAAAATTAACTCAAGAATTTTCCGGTTGCCTCTCCTTGCCATCAGCATGGCCAGTTAGAAGGCTCTGCATAAGAGAATCCAAATACCTCAGTTAGCCTTGGTCCTTCCCTTACTCAGCCCACTAAGAAAGGACTCAATGATCTGGTTAACTCAGCCTTGGAAATTTTAATTCCCTATATAAAAATATTGACAAACCAGTGAGGGATGAACAAGGTCTTAGCTTAGTGTCCCTCAAATGCTGTGTGGCAGAGCAGACTGCTCAGGAGAACCTCAGGGTGCTCAGTGTGTCCTCAGAGTGGTCATTGATTGTGTCACATGGCTCTGCTCTCCAGACTTTCAGTGGCTCTCAGTTCTAGAGTGCTTCCCTGGGCCTTCCACTCTGGTAATTGGTTCAAAGGAAAGAGTTTGTTGCAACAATAACCACTTAGAAAGGAAACGATTGCTCTATCTGCAGACAGACAAAGCCTTCAAAAGGTGGTTTGGAATTGAATTAGGGAGAGGAGTTCTTTCTTGAACTGAAACAGGGAAGATTAAAGTGTCACAAGCCTCCAGTTGACAGACAGCAGCTTCTATGATATTGACTTGAATCCAATGCAATGCATATTTCATGGATATTCACTGTATCTAATACTTAATTTTAAAAATCCAGTTGGGGGCTGTGCTGTTATTGGATTTTTTTCAATATTCATTAAAACACTTTAATTTGATCCATTTCACCTTTGTATGTTTTGCATTTGTACCTGTTGTTTATTGTTTGTATGTTGGAACAGAATGGTGGTGAATCAAGTCACACAAATACTTCTAAAACTTCTGACAGTGGCCAGCCCTTGCTCAACTCTTCTGTGTGCTAGTGCTCCTGGGAACACTACTGAGTAACTCCACAGCCAATATGAGATGACACTGTGTCCCTGATAGGACTTTAATTCGAACTTTTTGTTCCTTCTGACCTTTTCATTGAAGGCTCTCTCTCCACATCCCCCCCCCCTCTTTCCTTAGTCTCTGGGGCAGGGCTGTAACTGTTGAGTGTCCAATGATAACACAAGAGCTAAGAGCTCCTGAAGCCATTGACCTCATTCACTTCTAACAGGAAAAGCTAACTCACATCCAAGCTGATGATAATCAGCTTTGTGTCTAAGACATTGGTGCTTGGATCACATACAGGGGAACCTGTAGCCCCCTGCTCCTCTGTGATCCATAAGCAAACAAAATTGGCTTCCTTCTCTTTGGAGCACCCTCTCCTTCCAGGTATTAACATAGGAAGTACAGATAGAAGTCTCTTCTGTTGTCATGGCAACTCTCCTTCCCTGATAGGATTTTGGCCATTCCAGGCACGCTTCACTTGCTTTCCTATCTTAAGCCTAGACTAGCCTTGTTTTGAGTATT